CCAGGATCCACTTCGCCATCGAAGTGCGCCATGACCTTGACAAAACCGTCCACCAAGTGTGCGGTAAACGCGCAGTTGTAACCAACAGCGAACACCAGGTGTACGAAAGCGTAGACCAGGTGTGCGGTACTCCGACTGTATGCAGGTACCTATCCAAACTGTATGCCAGTAAATTCCTGAACCAGTTTTGGCAGCATGCCCCCTAGAGTAGCTCTGATACCATGCTAGAAAGGCATAGTGCCAGCGTAGCGGAAACGTGTTTGTAGAAAAGAACAAGATAGAAATCTTGCATTGATCATTGAAAAGTAGAATGATGACACAATGTGTAGCTCAATGATTTGACACAGCAGGGTATATATGCATCCAGCTACCCCTCCAGAATGACCCATTCACACCAATAATGGTGTACCAATAATTGTACCCTCTACCCTCCAATAATGCTGACCTCCAATAATTCTGGCCCCTACAATAATTGTAGGACCTGGAAGCTTATAAAGAGGACTACACTAAAACCAAACAGCACACTGGTATACAGTATTCGTTATACTGTATTCGGATTTCCAACATAATAGACAACCCCTGTCTATTATTCAACACTGTCTTAAATTTGGGTGATGACGGTTGTCCCTGGCTATTTGTTTCCTGCTCGGGCTAAACTCGTGACTAGGCCTCACTCTTTTGATTTTGTTTGCCTGTTCACTAAGCCTGGCTGCTAAGGAGAGAGGCATACTGTACCACAGGCAGTAAGAGATTCATGAAGCCTGTGAGTTTGTGTTTGATGTTACAACAGGGTATGAAAGTTATAAGTTACCGGCATAGTACCGTAATACAGATGAGAATGCAGAACTCAATGGAGGCTTCAATCAGCTCAGCTTCTCTTTCTGTATAGAAACATTAGCAGGCACGTACCAAGTAAACGTATGGTACAGTATAAAGCAAGCCAAAATAACCACATTTGCGGAAAGGAACACAATACCAGCAACCCAAAGGGGCAGCATGCAAGAATACCCCCCAAACTCGAGGTAATACGCCCACCAGAGCCAGTACGATTGGCCGGCAAGCCACAGAACAAGACAAAATCCGCCGTAGCTCTGGAGGCGGAGCGAGGTGAAGGGGAGGATGAGGGGAAGGAGGAAGAGGAACCAGACAAAGTACTGTGAGGTTATCACCTGGGAAAGGGGGGGAAACAGGAGGGGGGAAAGGGAATAAGGAAGGGAAGGAAGGGGGGGGGGGGGGGGGGGATTGGAAGGAAGGGATGAGGGGGCGGAGGAAGAGGAACCAGACAAAGTACTGTGAGGTTATTACCTGGGAAAGAAAAAAAGAGAAGGGGGACAAGGGTAGGGGGACGCGGGAAGGGGGAAAGAGGGAAGGGGGAAGAGGAGAGGAGAAAGGTGGAACCGGAAAAGGGGAAATATAAAGGAGAATCCGGAAAGGGGGGGAGATAGAGGTGGAAGTGGAATAGGGGGAAATATAGAGGTGGAAGTGGAATAGGGGGAAATATAGAGGTGGAAGTGGAATAGGGGGAAATATAGAGGTGGAAGTGGAATAGGGGAAGGAAGGAGAGGTGAGCGCATGGGAAATGAGTAAAGGAGGAAAGATCACACAATCGGTTTTGAGGCAAGGATAGAATGCTGAGCACGAAGGAAACACCAGAGGATACTGAGTACGGCATAATCACCCAGATGGGGAAAATGGGTGTGGAGAAGGGAGAGAAGAGGGGAGTGAGAAAAAGATGGCGTTCAAGCGGCAAATGACGTTGTTTCAACAACCGAATGAAGGAGCAGGAGACATTACCGAGACTTGATGCAAAAGTGGATGATTGTAAGAAATGTTACCTTAATGAACACCAATAAGCTAAACGGATTTGCCATATGAGAAGTATTGCAAGAGCTTGAGGGAGAATGTGAGCCGCCGCAGTCTTCTTTGCCATTGTCAGGCGCCCATCAAATGTACCTTATTGAGCGCCACAAAGGTAACTGCATAACACATGTACCTTATCAAAGGACATGATGGCAAACACCTGTGCAAAGAGGCAGAACAGGAGGTTGTGGAAGAGAAGGCAAGCTGCACCAATCTCGTTTTCCCTACTCAGGCGCCAAACCTACGTACCTTATTAAAGGCCACGAAGGCAAAGGTCTGTGCGAAGAGGCAGAAGGGGAGGTCGTGATAGAACTTGAAGGAGAAGGTGAGCTGCAGCAGTAGCTGTGGCAGGAAGGAGAGAATTCGGCTCGTGACAGAAGGCGCTTGCTGATTGGTCATCTGGCAGGAAGCAGAGAGCGGAGCAGAAAGAGGAGATCTCCATGGAAAATGAAGTTTATATAGAATGCAGGCACTATTGAGCCCTAAGAGAGACACCGCTGCACCATAGACATGGCATACTAAATACATTACATGAGATTGAGCACAGTAGTAATGCCATGAGGGCAATATGGCATGACATAACGCCCCAAACAAACTGACGGTGAGAACATTTGAAGGATGCTTACCAGGTATATTGCATAAAAGTGAGTTGAGAAGTTGTGGCGATGGTCGGACCGAGACGCATGGTACAGTAGCGACTCGTTAAGAAACTGATCCCCGTACAGTCTCCAGCACAACGCTGTAACGAGGACAAAAGTGCCGCCCGAAACCGCACCGAACTCTACCGGCAACAGAAGGCCCTTAACAACATGAGCCAGTGAGCTGGCTGTAGCAGTAGCTGCAGATGAGTTTTGTTGTCCTGACTTGGTCTTCGCTGTAGCAGCACCTGTAGCTGATTTTTGTCCTGACTTTGAGCTGGCTGTAGCGGCAGCTGTAGCAGAGATGGCAGAAGTGGGTGGTGAGCTGGCGCTCTTGGAGCTACTGCCGTTTGTAGGTTGCTTCGTAGCTGTAGCACCGCTGCTGTCACTGGGATCGTCATGTTGTGAGATGCTTCGAAGCGGATAGGTGTGGAAGAGGTACAGGACGAAGGGCAGAGCGTAAATTATCGGGTAGACTCGGAAATGCACCACGATGCCGAACCAAAAGGCAGCAGATGTGATATGGCCTGCTTGGGGAAGAAAACAACGAGCCAGGGTTGGGGAGCCAGGAATGGGGAGGCAGGAGCGGGAAGACAGACAGACGAGGGGAGACAGGAATGGAGAACTAGGGGCGGGGAGACGGGAGACGGGAGGAGAAGGGGAAGGGGACCGAAGATGAGATGGATAAAAAAGATGACAATGTGTTGAAAGGATTGCAATGCTCGTCTGTACAATTAATCTTACAGAAATCCCTGCACTATTCCAGGCAGCAATAAAAGGATGAAATCTTCCAATTCTTGAACAATTTCCTTTCCAGAAAACACATACCCTGCAGCAGTCCCAGCAGCACTTGGAGAATGAGAGCAGCAGCAAGGGCGTCACAGTTGCCACGTGTAGCGATGGTGACTGTGAAGGGGTTGAAGAGCCACGTGGCAGCACACAGGATTGCCACGCGGTCAGAGATGCCACGTAGGAGCAGCAGTGATCGAATCTGATGGCCCACTAGCAGATCTGGCAGAGGACGGGAAACCAGGAGAGGGAACGCCTGACTGAATATTTGACAGAATTCCGAGGGAATGCTTCACAGGGTTCTTGGCTAAATCCCTGACTTAATACCTGAAGAGAATGGGTAACTAAATGCCTGAAGGGAAACCTGTCTGGACTTTTGACGAAATGCGTGAATGAATCTATGATTCACAGTCAAACCGAACGTCAGACAGAATGCTTGATTGAATCCGTGAATGAATTCGGTGACGGAAGGCCTGACTGAATGTCAGATGAATGCCTGACCGAGGCTTGACAAATACCTGGTCAAGGGCCCCAGGCTCACCAGCTTCATCTGACGCAACAGCCGCTGAAAGGAGAAGATTTTCTCATTCGCAACTATTTTATAAGGCAGACCTCCCCATATCAACTTACCCGCTGCCGAAAACAACAGCTTTCCCCAGAGCTGGTGAACCAGGACGTTCGGCACGAGGATCCACGCGAGCAGCGGCGAATAGCGGTACGTGTAACGCTCATACGGCGAACGACCTAGGGTAACCAGCCGAGCCGCGTCGGTGAACACCAAATAGTCTACGTCCGTGTATTTAACCTCCAGATTCGCGTCTTCCCACTCGCCGAAGACTATCACAAGTAGTCGCGCGACAGCGGAGAAGATTAAGAGCTTCCGCCATGACAGGTCCATCGCGACGCACGCGAACCGGCGAAACTGGAAGACGAAAATGTCACTCGGGTAACCCGATCACGAATTACATTATTTACAGGACAAATTCTAGCGAGAAAGAGAAATGGGAGACGAACGAAATTCTGAATTCGTGGCAAAAAAAGCGGGAAAAACAAGGCTTCACACGAAGTCAGGAGGGGTCAAGTGTGCGAGGAGAGGAGGCATGATGAAGTGGGAGGGTTGATTCCTACGGTTCAGAGCGATCGAGCTGATGCCTAAACGGTTGGGTGGGCTAGACATCAAACCCAAATACGTCCCCGCGATGTGCTGAAAATTTTGAGAAACGTTAGTGTAACCACAAAACCCCCGCAAGCAGTTCATTGGATGGCTCGCTAAGGATTGATTTCGTATACTTCATCAGCCGTTACATTGCAAATTGCATTCTAATTCACACAAAGAAGCACCAACAAGCAGCATTGCCAACCATACCCTATGGCCCGGCTAGTCATTTTCAATTCCCAACCTGTCAATTTCTCTACCCCTGCTTGGCCTGCGACGCCCGGGACACCCTCTTCTTGGCCAGGGATTACGGTACGACCACCTCTCTCTCTGCTCCTTGATGCGCAGCGCCAGCAGCTTCAGGTAGTCAGCGGCAGATGTCACGCAAAACGATTTAGGAAGGTTTTTACTGGTTGACTCGCTATGAATCAATTTCGTATACTTCGTCAGCCGTTACATTGCAACATGCATTTCTAATTCACAAAACCAGCAAGCATCACCAGCACCAAACCCTACGGCCCCGCTTCTATCTTTCCACTCCCATCCTGTCAACCGCTCTATTCCTTGGCAGCAGGGGCGGTAGCCGGCTTGGCCTGCGACGCCCGGGAAGCCCTCTTCTTGGCCAGGGACTCCGACCGCCTCTCCCTCTGCTCCTTGATGCGCAGCGCGAGCAGCTTCTGGTAGTCGGCGGCGGCGGACTTGGCCTTGGCGACGCGCTGCTTCTTCTCTGCCAGGCGCGCGCGCTTGCGCTGCAGCTTCAGGGGCGTTACCAGCCGCTGAATGTTGGGGCCCTTGCTCTTCTTCTTGCCTGGGGGATGCAAGTGGAAGGAAGGGGTTTGGGAAGAGAGGGAGAGATAGATGGGCATGGAGGAAAAGAGAGCTTGCGCTGCAGCCTGAGGGGGGTCACCAGCTGCTGAATGTTGGGGCCCTTGCTCTTCTTCTTGCCTGGACGAAGGGGTTGGGGGTGGGGGGGTGGGTGGGGAGAGGGGGGGGGGGGAGAGGAGTATGAATGGGGCGAAGAGGTCATGGGGGTGGGACTGATGATCCGGATGTTGGGGCCTGTGCTCTTCCTGCCTGGCAACCAGGGGTGTGTGGGAGGAGAGGGGGAGGGGGAGGGAGGGCTGAAGGAAGAGGACATGGTGTTCACATCCTCCATATCATGCTCAATCCACTCACCCTCTCCTCCCCTCCCACTCCTTGAACACTCATCCCCGTTACAGTCACACTCATTCCCGTAACAGTCACTCAACCACGTTTAGTAATACACTCCTGTCAGTAACCACCACCTCCTCCCTGACTCGTTATACTTGGTCACATCGACCTCCTTGCTCAGAGCCAAGATACAGACAAAACACACTCATCCCCGCAGTCAAACTCATCCCTGACTCGTTATACGCACCCTTGACGGTGGTGTACTTGCGGCGATATGTGTTGACATACTTGGGCACATCGTCCTCCTTGGTCAGAGCGAACATGCACACAAATGACTCCCATCCCCGTTATAAACACGATTCGTTATACGCACCCTTGGCGGTGGTCCACTTGCGGCAGTAGGTGTTGACATAATTGGTCACATCGTCCTCCTTGGTCAGAGCGAACATGCACACAAATGACTCCCATCCCCGTTATAAACACGATTCGTTATACGCACCCTTGGCGGTGGTCCACTTGCGGCGGTAGGTGTTGACATACTTGGTCACATCGTCCTCCTTGCTCAGAGCGAACATGCACACAAATGACTCTCATCCCCGATATAACCACGATTCGTTATACGCACCCTTGGCGGTGGTCCACTTGCGGCGGTAGGTGTTGACATACTTGGTCACATCGTCCTCCTTGCTCAGAGCGAACAGCTTTCGGATCTTGGACGCCCTCTTGGGACCACGCATACGCGGCTTCTCCGTGTCAGTAAGGCCGGGGAGGTGGTTGTCGCCTGATGGGGAGATAGGGGAAAGGGAGGAGGGAGAGTGAGGATAGAGCGTGAGGGCAGAGCACATAAGGGGAAAGGGTCAGTTGGAGGGAAAAGGAAGGAGAGGAGGGGAGCTTGAAGGGCAGGGCGAGCAGCTTTCGGATCTTGGACGCCCTCTTGGGCCTGCGCATACGAGGCTTCTCAGTGTCCGTCAGACCAGGCAGGTAGTTGTCGCCCGGTGGGTGGGGGGGAGAGAAGAGGGGGGGGGGTGGGATTGTGTGAGTGTTGCGGGGGCGGGGGGGAAGGGAGGGGTGAATGGGGGATGGGGCGGGGGTGAGGCGGTGAGGAGTGGGGGAACGGTGAGGAAGAGGGTTACACTTTGAACCTAACTCATCCAATATATGTGGCACCGACAGGTCCTGGTTACGTCACATGGTAAAAAACAATGTGCTACTAGTTAAAAAGGGTATATGAAGAACTTACCCTGCTTGACATGACCAGATCCAGCACCGACAGGTTCTGGCTGACTTTACATGTGAACAAACCGAAAACCCACGAATAAAAAAAGGGCGTACGCGCAACTTACCCTGCTTGACGATGACCAGGTTCAGCACGGACAGGTCCTGGCTGACGATGCACCCGCGCACTGACTTTCTGCGCCGCTCCCCGTTGCGCCGGCCGTAGCCGCGGAAGCAGGGCACGCCTGCGCGGAAGAGGGCGGGGGAGGGAGGCGGAGGGGGAAGCGGATGGCGGGTGAGGGGGAAGGTGGTTTGACAAAGTTGGATTCAATTGCGGGGGTTGTGGGAGGGAGGGAGGGGAGAAACGAGGGGGTGTGTATCTAGCGAAGAATGGGGCTTAGGCGGCGGTGCGTGTAATCGAGGCTGTTAGTGCGCAACGTTGGTGGATCAACCCTTGCTTTATCGAGAAAGGATGCGCCTGGGCTAAAATCTGGAAACCCCTGTGCATGAAGATTTGGACGCGGCCAGGAGTACTTTGCCTCATGGAGAAACCGTTCTTGTAACGGGCAAAGACTGGAACCACCCTTGGATATGTGGGCTAGAATAGAAACTTACCCCTGTGCATGAGGATTTGGACGCGGCCGGGTGTGAGGACACCTTGCTTCATGGGGAAACCGTCCTTGTCGCACCCTCCCTTGATCTTGAAGACGTACCCCTTGAACTCCTGATGGTTATGAGAGGGGGATGAGGGAGAACGAGAGGAGCAGAGCGGCAATGAGTGAGCAAGCATGACGGAATTGGTCCTTGTTGCACCCCCCCTTGGTCTTGAAGACGTACCCCTTGAACTACTGCTAGTGACGAGAGAGGGGAGTGGGGGAGAAAAGTGGGAATGCGCAACACGGACGATGGGAATGCGTTTGATCAACTTAAGTTATCGTGGGTGGTGAGGAAAAGGTGACATGTGGGGACGGGGGGTGGGAGCTGGGACCACTTACATCGCCAAGGGAGTCGCCGCTGACCTCCTGTGCGAAAGTTGATCACGAAACTAACTACGGAAAAGCAGGGTTACTGATCAGAAACCCCGAGGCAGGGACCACTTACATCGCCGAGGGAGTCGCCGCTGACCTCCTGAGAGATTCTCTTGTCGAAGAACGCACGCCTGCACGACACGTGGAACGGTAGGAAGACACACGTGCGGAAACAGGGTGATTCGAAAGAGACTAGGGAGAGACCGTCTTAGATTCAGACAACAGGAAAAGGAAAGGTCTAAAAAGTAGCCCGTACTGGTCCTGCAGAAAGTTTCACGCCTCCATCGTGCAACTATGTTGTGACCGCTACTGAGCTAACAGAACTAAACCTAAGCGGCTTGTCGGTGCAAGATACACGCCGGATGACCGATACAAGCCGCATACGACGCGTCTTAATCAAGAGCTGTGTCGGAAGAGTTGAAAGTCACTCTCACAAGCTTTTAGGCAACCATGATTTCCGAGAATCCTCAGCGATCTCCAGCAATACTCGAAGTCCGAACGAATTCAGGCGGAATCACGCCCTAAACTAACAGTCTCGTCGTTGAAGCCTCTGCTTCACTCCGCATCGCAGCTACCCTCACCAGTGCCGTATCTTAGCTTCGTATACGTCAGGTATTTCCCGGAGACTGCTCAGACAATGCTCTAGCCAACCCCCCTCCCTCCCCTTAAAGTGGACGCAATGTCTTCCGCGACACACCTTAGTAACGTCTCCGAACCTATTCACAAAGACGAACTCGCGATCTCCGAAACTGGATACTCGTCTACAAATGTCTTAATCCGGTAAACGGGATAGGTGTCAGCGTCTTTGGTTAAGCTACACCTAATGATCACTGCCTAAGGTAACATCCAGCTGCTGAACCCATGACGCTTCTGACTAGAAGAACGCTTTCTGCCTTTGCACCTTATGATCCGTAGCCGAACCGCCTGCAAAAACGTAAACCTGATGGAAAAGAACGCTGTTAGAAAAGAACTCACAGCTTGAGATCGTCATCGATTTCGACCTTCTTCTGGCACCCCGTGGTGGGGTTGGCAATGTTGAGCTGCGGATCAAATCACAGGACGGGGAAGAAACATCGTCAGCGAAGCTCACATGCACGACATAGAATGAATCCCCTCGCCAGATTTGGCGACATTTCGCCGCTATGGGAAATATGATGAAATCTGGCAGCTTATGAGACGACGCCCGAGTCAAGGATCGGAAATCATGAACTTGTTACGCGTTGAGGAACAAGAAGGTAAAAAACCCGAGGAAGAACACGAGGACGGGTTGGACGCGGCAGAATAGGTGAACATGCCATAACTACTCAATATCGAGAGGTTTTAGGAATTCTCAAAAAGCTAATCCGTAAGGTTCTTCCATCTCGGAAAAAAGGGCTAAGGAACTAGTATGAGGTGTGCCAATACGATCCCACGAATCCGCCGTGTTTTGCGCTGGAGCTACCTAACCTAAACGCGGCTCACCTTCATGGTTGCGGAGCTCAGGCGCGAGGGAGGCGAGCGAGAAAAGGGAAAGGGAAAGGAAAGAGCAGAATAAAGTAGCCTTAGATTTTAGGGTTTGTTGGGCGCGAGGGAGGGAAGGGAATGAGCGGGACGGGGGGTATGGAGAAGAAAGGCGGAGAAATGAGGGAACGGCGGAGAATGTATAGGCGGAGTGGCTGGGGGAAGGCGGGGAGGGAGGAAAATGGTGGCATAGGGGAAAGGGGAAAGGAGAATGAGGAATATACACAAAGCTCATATGAGGTGTACTCATGTAGATTATGGAGACTTTGGCCTTGCCTTGATCAAGTTTGCATGAGAGGAAACGCAATGCCTCAAAATCGATACAGACGGGGGAACCTCACGAAAAGAGTAACTTTTGCCACAAGGTCGCATCTGTCGTGTTGAGCGAATCAAAGCACAGCATCGCCGTCTGCTTCGCAAAATGCAGCAGTTTTCGGGACAACCTGTGAGCAGCACCACATGGTCGCCCGCGCCGCATAGAAATATTTGAGAGAACCACCACGACTAGGCAAGTCGCGCAAAATTTCGATTTTGCTGATGGCGCGAGAAGCAACGCGCTGCGGTGCTGGAGCATTTCAAGTGCTTGCCAATTTCAAGTGCTTATGTGCTTGAATGGTCTTCGCCATGCTTGAATGGTCTTCGCCATTCTCCATAGCGTTGCTTGATCCGAGAGTGTCGGGTGTTGGGTGAAGAAGCTTGTGCGTCGCTAGACCAGTACTCAAGCTTGTGTTGACCACTTAGCTCTGTATGCTCAACCTGCTGTAACAGATGTTGGTATTCCATAAGTGATGTTACAAGCGAGTAGAGAGAAGCCGACTTCACGATACCATTACCTCGCCATGGTTTGTTCTCCTCCAGTAATCTCAATGTTTTGTACTCGACATAGCCCGCAGCTTAGTTCGCAGCGTAGCTCTCAATATCGCGCTCACTATAGGTTCCAGTATCCAGCGGCCAGACTATCAGCTCCTTTCCTGTGCAGTCAAGCCATGTCTAGAGCTGCGAATGTGTTTCCGTTGGTGTTGCTCGTTCTCCTCCTAACCGCGCACCTCCCCTCCGCGTTTGCCGGCTCCTGTCCCGCATTCGTTGGCGAGAAGGCCGCATGCGGCGCCACGACTTGCGGCCGTTACGTTTTCAAGGGCGCGTTCGCAAACAGTCGCAGCGACGTCGCGCAGTATCGCGTGCGATCCGCACGCGACGGTTTGCGACTAGGGCGACGAGCTGCGCCTGCAGACTGCTGCCACATGTGTCGCCAGCAACCGCAATGCAGCTACTGGAACTTCCTCGCAAGTTCCGGCACTTGCTACCTGTACACCAGCGGGATTTGCGCAGCGAATAACGGAATAAGAAGCGTCTACTCTCCCAGGGAACCCAATTCTTAGTAAGCAGCAAATTTTACATCTTAAAATTTTCACCAATCCTTCCCGAGGACACACCTAAACCTACCTTTGAAGAAACAGGCGTCTGTCACTACCTCCTAAGTTTCCTACTTCTTGTCCTCTTTATTCCTTGATTGTGATTCGATTCGCTTCTTGGCAGTGTGGGCGGTCGATGCAGCTGGCACGGACAGCAAGAGTACAGATACCAAGGTGAGGCGGCTAATAACGGGTATATGGTACGGGTTTCTGTGGCGGAATTCTGCCTGCTTGAACCTTCCAAATCTTCCCCTTCCCCATGCCCCTCCCCCTCCCCCTCCTTCCCCCTCAACCCACCCCTCCCCGGCCCAACTTCTCTCCAGCGGAAACCGCCTCACTGCGCGCCCCTACCCACAGTTCCGCCCAACCTCCTTCCGCTTTCTTTCCGTTTCCCGCCTGCACACGTTCCCCCACCGTTTTCACTCTTCCGCCTACAATTTCCCCCTTGTCTGCCCCTTTTACAGCGGAGGCCGCTCCCCCCGCGCGTCCCTACCAACAGCTCCGCCCAACGTCCTTCTGCCTCGTGTCCGACGCGCGCCTGCACACTTCCCCCCATCACGTCCAAACCGACACTCCCCACCGCCTTCCCCCTTCTCTCCCCGTCCCCCCCTCAACAGCGGAGGCCGTTCCCTCCGCGCGCCCCTACCAGCAGCTGCGCCCGACGTCCTTCTGCCTCGTCTCCGACGCGCGCCTGCAGATCAGCATGAGCCTCCCCCTCTCCCCCCCCCCCACTTCTTCAACAGCGGAAGCCGTTCCCTCCGCGCGACCGTACCAACAGCTGCGCCCGACGTCCTTCTGCCTCGTCTCCGACGCGCGCCTGCACGTCCTCTCATCCCCCTACGAATCTCCCTCCTTCACCCCCCCTTCTCTTTCTTTTACAGCGGAGGTCGCTCCCTCTGCGCGCCCGTACCAGCAGCTGCGCCCGACGTCGTTCTGCCTTGTCTCCGATTCGCGCCTGCACATCAACATGCGCCTCACTGGTTACCTCGATAACAACCGCTCCGATATAATGGCCGCGCTCGTGGCTGGCGCTAAAGTGCGCACGTGGATCAGGTGAGCCCAGGAGAGTGAGGGGGAGGGGGGAAGGAGGGAAGGGGAGGGGGGAAGCAGGGAAGGGGTGGGGGTAGCTTTTGAGTCGACTTAAAAGTCGCTTCGATATAATGGCCTCCCGAGTTGGGTCGCGCTAAAGTGCGCACGTGGATCAGGTGAGCCCAGGAGAGTGAGGGGAAGGAGGGAGAGGGCGTGTGGGCGGGGAGAATGAAGGTTGGTGTGGGCTAAGGGAAGGGGTTGGGGGGGTTACACCTGGCTCCGCCCGTGGCTGGCGCTAAAGTGCGCACGTGGATCAGGTGAGCTTAGGAGGGTGGGGGAGGGGGGAAAGCAGGGAAGGCGGTGGGTCGACTCAAATGTCGCTCCGATATAATGGCCGCGCTCGTAGCTGGCGCCAAAGTGCGCAATGATCAGGTGGGCTTGCACGAGGAAGGGGGTTGCGGAGAGGGATTGTGCGGAGAGGGGGTTGCGGAGAGGGATTGTGCGGAGAGGGGGTTGCGGAGAGGGATGGAGACAAAGGGGTTGTGTGGGGAAACTTTTTTTCTAGGCGCCTCAAAAGTAGGGGGCTAATGTAGAATAAACCCCACCAGTCAGGGATAATACAGCAAAGCCCTCATTCTTATCACATACCTTCATTCCCACCAATCAGGGAGCTTGGATTCATATGGTGGACCAATCAGGCGGGCGGAAGCGCGGCGCAGCATTCCCTTCGGCTGGTCGCGCGGCGCGGCCCGAAGCAGGAGCGCGGCGAGGGGTTCATGGGGCGAATCGAGGTGGATGGAATCGCGGTTCCGCGGCTGGGGGTGAGTGTTCTCAGTTAACGGGCAGAATTCATGGTTATGCAATCGTGGTTCCGCGGTGACTGGATGAGTGTATTGTTCTATATTTGCATTCTGCGTCTGCCAGGTGCTGCATGTGCAACGATTCTTAAACATGGGAATTCGATCTCAAAAGTCACCTTTGATCGGCTCGACGTACATGAATGCCACGATTCCTCTTCCACGTGATAAAACGGAGTTTTTGGGAAATTCGTTTTTGCAAAACTCCCTTTCAAAACATGGGAATTCGTATTTTGCACCTTTGATCGGCTCCACGTACATGAATGCCACCTTTCCTCTTCCTCGACTCAAAAGTCAACCTCGTGACAATGGCACACGACAAAGCCCCAACTCATTTCACTTGGCTTCTTGTGCGTTGGAATTCCACCATTTCGCTTCCTTCCAACGCCCCCTCTCTCTTCCACCCTGTGCAGTTGGGCGACGAGTTGAGCCTATTCGACGGAGAAGGCACCGTGACCTACGCACGGCAGGAGAGGAGCGGCAACTATGACGTGGATGTGTACTCTGTCAAGCTGGCAGGGCTGCTGGAGGTGCGTGCACTGTGAGAGGCATCGAAACATTGTAAGGACCTTGGGAGTATAAAAAATCTAAAACCTGTGGCAGTTAATGCGTCTTGAAAGAGGATCAGCAACCACTACGTGAGTGTGTTTCGAGACGTCTCAAAACACTTGCTTTATCACGTGACTGCGTGAATGTGCGTTGTGTCGAGCTGACGGGGCTGCTGGAGGTGGGTGCTCTTGTCGAGTAGACTTGAAGATTCACTGCGTGAAAACTTGGAGATGTGAAGTGCCAATACTCACGGCCCTTGGAAGAATCCCGCCTTGGGAGCATACCCCTTGGGAGTACACCCTTTGGGAGTATATTCCTTGGGAGTATACCCCTTGGGAGTATAACCTTGGGAGTAAACCCCGAGGGAGTATCCCCCTTGGGAGTATACCCCTTGGGAGTATAACCTTGGGAGTACACCCCGAGGGAGTATCCCCCTCACTGGCCTTGGGACACGGACGTGCACCTGATGCTGGACCTTGGGAGTATCCTGCATTTGTGTAACCGCTCCCTCACGCCCTCAAACCTTTCTCTTCTTCCCCTCTTGTCCGGCTCCGGCTCCGGCAGAGGAGGACGCGGGAGGCGCACCTGATGCTGGACCTTGGGAGTATCCGGCTTGAGGATTTCCACGCGCTGGTACTGTGTATATATCTTCACCATTTCCTTGTCACTCTTCTCGATTTACCCAATCTTTCAGGCAGAGGTCCGGCTGCGGCCAGCCCACCCGTTACTGCAGGAGGAGGAGGATGCTGAGGTGCACCTGATGCTGGACCTTGGGAGTATCCGGCACACCCCGAGAGTGCATGGCGTGGTGGGACAGGCGTACAGGGATGAAGGGTGAGTGGGAGTGGGGTGAGGATGGGAGGAAGAGAGGAAGGAAAGGGAAAGATGAGTGGGGCCAGGTGAAGTGAATGGACCTTGGGAGTATCCGGCACTCACCCAGAGCGCATGGCGTGGTGGGGCAGGCGTACAGGGATGAAGGGTGAGTGTGGGGGACAAGGAGATGAGTGAAAGAGATGGGGGAATGAGAAGTGAACCAACCTTGGGAGTATCCGGCAGAGAGCGCATGGCGTGGTGGGGCAGGCGTACAGGGATGAAGGGTGAGTGGGAAGGTGGTGAAGGTGTGAGGAAGAGTGGAAGGGTAAGGGGGGAGGATGAGTGGGGGCTGGTGAAGTGAATGGACCTTGGGAGTATCCGGCACTCCGGATTTGAGAATTCTCAAAAGCGATTTCAACATAGTGGGGGCTGGTGACGTGAGTGGACCTTGGGAGTATCCGGCACTCCAGATTTGAGAATTCTCAAAAGCGATTTCAACATAGTGGGGGCTGGTGACGTGAGTGGACCTTGGGAGTATCCGGCACTCCCTCAGAGCGCACTGCGTGGTGGGGCGGGCGTTTAGGGATGAAGGGCGAGTATGGGGGCAAGGGGGGAAGGAAGGTGAGCAGGAGAGTCGAGTAGGTGAGTTGAGCGGAACTTGGGAGTATCCGGCACTCGCCCAGAGCGCACTGCGTGGTGGGGCAGGCGTGCAGGGGTGAAGGGTGAGTGTGGGATTAAGGGGAAAGAAGTGGCAGGGTGGGGGGGGGGGGGATCATGGGGCAGTGAGGAGTGAACGGACCTTGGGAGTATCAAGCTCTCTCCCCCATTGTGCATGGCGTGGTGGGGCTGGCGTTTAGGGATGAAGGGCGAGTGAGGTGGAAGAGCGAGCGGGGCGAGTGTGGGGCGAGGGAAGGACGAGAGGGGGTGAAGTGAGGTGTGGGGAAGGCCAGGTGAAGTCAACAGACCTTGGGAGCATCCAGCAGTCCCCCAGAGTTCTTTTGAGACGTCTCAAAAGTATCCAGCAGTCCCCCAGAGTTCTTTTGAGACGTCTCAAAAGTATCCAGCAGTCCCCCAGAGTTCTTTTGAGACGTCTCAAAAGTATCCAGCAGTCCCCCAGAGTTCTTTTGAGACGTCTCAAAAGTATCCAGCAGTCCCCCAGAGTTCTTTTGAGACGTCTCAAAAGTATCCAGCAGTCCCCCCCAGAGTTCTTTTGAGACGTCTCAAAAGTATCCAGCAGTCCCCCAGAGTTCATGGCTTGGGAATAGGACGGGAGGCAAAGGTGGGAGTTGAGGGTGGAATCAGGACCGGAGGATGACGGGGAAGGGAGGAGTGGGGGCGGGGGGAGGGGGGGGGGGGGGGGGGTTGGGGAGCAGGGCGGCAGATGAGGTGAACCAACCTTGGGAGTATCCGGTACTGAACCAGTGAGCATGGCGTGGTGAGACAGACATGCTCAAGGGGAGGACCATAGGCGAGTGGCATGCCCCACCAGTAGTGAAGATTCACATGTTGATTCACTCATGTTGACTCACAGGGTTCAGGGCTTGTTGCTCTGGTGCTACCGTCAGTAATTTCCAAACGCATAACTTCCAGTCCAGCATATATCCTAACTTGGGCAGTTTCCTGTCTGTTTCTTCACTTGCCTGATATTCTCTCAAGTGCTGAAGCCTGAGCTTGCTTCTGCCATTTTTCCTTCGCCCACCCTTTGTAATCCACCCTGGCAGATCAAATCATGACCTCAACTATGCCATCTTGGCGAATCTCATGACCCGTGCCCAATCGGTTTCGGATGATGAGTCACCAGGTGATTGGTCATCAGAATTAAATGCGCCAAGAAGTGGGCTGGAGAGTGCGGAAAGCGAGAGTGAAAGCTTTAAACAGAGTGGTGAACAGAATAATGACGTGGATAGTGGTGGCATTGGTCGGATAGATGCATATACCGGCGATTCATGCGACTTCCCATTAGAAGGTCGGGCAGAGGACTACATTTCGTCGTCCGTTGTATCCCCAGACTGTCATGTATCTCAGTATAGAAGGCCAAATGAGGCTGCCATTGTGTATGGATGATTATTACAACTAATCATTTAGCTGATTTAATGTGTAATTCACAACATACTGGGTCTAGAATTGTCTAGCAAAAGGCTCACATGTGGAACTCAAAAGAAAATATAGCGTATGCTCTTCTTAACGAGTACTGATCCTTCTGGGTTTGCGGTGTGATCACCACGTCACTTCCCCACAATGCTGACATAGGCGGCATCTAAGATTTGGCCCAGATAAAGTGGTGCTCGACTTCGCGAAGGGCATTCGGGATTACGACGCTTTCGTGCGCTGTCGCGCACAGCACTGCGAAGCGTTTTTACAGCCCACTCGACCCGTTCCACGCCAGTAACGCCTCTCGCCACCGCAGCAATGTTGCCACGGTGGCGCCCGCCAGCATTTTGCTTTTGGGCGGCTCCAGCAAAGCGAGGTCAGGCAACTCGAGCCTCGCTTAGTTTGCCGCCATGACCAATCAGCTGAATGGTTTGCTCCTTGTAGGCTCGAAATCTCAGCCAAAGCGAAGCCGCCATATCGGCTCGGCAATACTCGGACCTGACTCAAACCCAAGCTCAGGCTCGACGTTTTTGCTTCTGTCCTGCTCCTTCGCCTTGATCAAGGCGCAACTAATCCAGCAAGAGCCTGATCATGCTTCAGGGCGCTGATATACGTTCTAGAGGAATCTAATCGTTATGAATAACGGTTGAGCTGGATGCTAGGAGCTGACTTATGGACACCACCTTAGCACCCCCACTTCCAGTCTTCCAAGGCGAAGCTTAGAAGCCCTGCGTCCTTCTCATAACCTCCTAAAGTCAGTTTTCCTCCCATCGTGACGTATCCTCTTTGGCAAAAAAATCCGCGTGTGTACGACTCTGATATATCCTGATCGAGCAAGCATCGCAGTTCTTGCTCGTGCGATCTCGCCGTGGATCGCGACGAGCAAGAGATTGGCTCCCGCGGCAAAACCCTCTGCAGCTGAGTCGTGGCGGAGGAGATCCAAGCTGCTGCTTTGGTAGATTAGCAGTAGTAGTCAGTAGCTTCTGGCACGGTGCGCGGTCATCGTAACAAGTCAGTGATCTGCATTCGGGGATAAGGCTTACCGTCCCGCATCGTCTCAGTCGTCGCGCATCAGCTGTCCCAAACGTCACGCATTCTGAATATCTGTAGCTGCGACGAGTCGTCTCCTTTGCGAAGATTCGCCTGCCCTTTGCGACGATTCGTATGCAACGATCCGTCTCCGTCTGCAACAGTTCGCCTGCCCTCCGCGACGATCCATCCGCAACACCGTCTGCATCAATCCGCTTGCCGGTCCGTTTGGCATTGGCGAAGATCGCAAGTTGTGCGGCGAAGGTCGCAAGCTGTGCGGCGAAGATTGCAAGTTGTGCGGCGAAGATCTCAAGTTCATTCACAAGAATAGAAGTTCTTTTCGGCGACGCTTAGAAGCTCCCAGGATGGCGGCTTCCGCCGCTTTCTCCGCTTCCGCCGCTTCGTCGTTCTGCCCATGCGCGCATACGCACGTGAACGACGCTTCCCGCCTCTCCTCCCTTTCAACCCTCAAGGCCTTGCAAGAGCATTCCCAGGGTAATCTTCGTAAATTCCCCAGCGCCGTGAGTGTAAACGCCCTAGAAGTGGGATCCAAGGGCCTCCCGAAGGGCTCTCGCAAGCGATTGGCCCATCTTCGTCTGTCCGCCGTGCGCGTCACGTCAGCATCTTCCATCCCACCTGGCGGCTCGTTTCGGCCAGCGAATCACAGCGATGCAAACAGATCCGTCTCGCCGCACCACTTCCCTAAGCTGACGTCAGCGTCACCATGGCAACAGCCAAATCAGCAGCGGGATGAATTTCCGTCAAGAAATAACAATCTTGCTGCTAAAGACGCGATTGCCACGTCAGGACCGGTCAGCATCCCGGAAGATTTCGACCTGACCGCCCCAAGCGAGGAGAGCAGTGGCAGCAGCCGCACGATGGGCAGGAGAGGAGATTTCATTCCGCTGCCCGAAGGAACGGCGTCGCGGGCCAGAGCGGGGGTTCTTTCCGCCAGGGTTTTTCACATGCAGCTGGGAAAACCGGTGGTTCGGAATTCGCCGCCCTTGAACCCTGCCTCCCCAGGTCGGAATCAGCGATCTGTGGTAACCCCACATTCGTCAACCTTCGCGTCGGTTTACAAGCCGGTTAAACCGCGCGAGCATTCGCCGCCCACGGCTCGGCGGCCTTCGGGGCTTCGCAAGGAAGAAGGGGAGGGTAAATGGGCAGGTAGCGGCGATGAGGACTTGGGGTTCAACAGCAGTAGCAGCGCCGGCACTGGTGATGGCTCCAGCAGCAACAGCATCAGCAGTACCAGTAGCAGCAGTAGCACCAGTTACACGAGGAGGGGCGTTAGCAGCAGGGGTATCAGCAGCAGCAGGCGCAGCAGGAGCTTTTCTGATACCACCAGCACAGGCAGAGACCGTATATCCCCCCCTCGCCCCACTCGTTCCCCTTATCCCTGGGTTTCTACGCCCCTCCCTGCGCGCCCCCCTGTGTCCGCGGCGCAAAAGGCGCAGGCGCTGCGCATTTTGAGGGATATGCTGGCGGAAGCGGGGCGCAGGGAGGGGGAGGATACGCGCGGAGGTCTGAATTTCGGGTTGAAGGGGGGTGAGGGTTTTAGAGGGGCAGGGGAGCTTAAGGGTGGCGTGGGGGAGGGGGTGGGGGAGGGGGTGGGGGAGGGGGAGGGGAAAGAGGAGAGGGGAATGGACGGGGATGGAAGGAGGGGGGGGGGGGAGGAGTGTTATGGATGAGTTGATTGACTCTTTTCGGAGTGATTGTAAAGAGGTGAGTTCTAAGAAGCTAGCTCAGGGTGCTGCAAGTAAGGGGGGAGAAGAGCTCGCAGCAGCAGGAGCAGCAGACGAAGCAAAGTCTGTAGGAAATGCAGTGCATGCAACCATTTCGCCTCCAGCAGCAGCTATTTCATCATCATCAGCAGCAGTTTCACCGCCAGCAGCTGCAGTTTCATTACCAGCAGCAGCAGCCTCAATTCCAGCAGCAGTAATATCATCATCATCATCATCGTCGTCGTCGTCGTCGTCGTCGTCGTCGTCGTCGTCGTCGTCGTCGTCGTCGTCGTCGTCGTCGTCGTCGTCGTCGTCGTCGTCGTCGTCGTCGTCATCATCATCAGCAGCAGCAGCACCACCAGCAGTAACCGCCTCAGTACTGCCACAGTCTGAATCTGTACCCTTTAGTAGTCCTCCTGTTAAGCTTCATCGTCCTCTTGCTGTTCCTCCTCCTCCTCCTGCTCCTGCCCCCGTTCCCACTCCTGTTCCTGCACCTGCTACTGCTCCGGTTTCTGATGTTACAGCAGAGGATACGCCAGAGATAGCAGCAGCAGCAGTAGAGGAGGAGCAGTCGTCTCCCAAGACTGACGAGGGGGAGGTAGAGTTGCCAGTTGCCATTCCAAGAATGCATGTGGGCGTGCCTCTTCCCATCCAGCCAGGCTCTCTCCTCCCCTCCCTCAAGGTTAAACCCTCTTTGCCACGCAAACCAGTCGTGCCAGCTGTACAGCCAGAGGCAAGGCTGGACGGATCAGGGTTAATGGGAGGTTCAGGGTTTAAGAGTGCAAGCGGAGGGGCGCAGTTTGCAGCCTCGAGAGGGTTTAAGGAAGGGTCAGGGGCGCATTATTCCACCCAGCAGCCAGACGTGTTCAAGACAACCGTGGCTGTGTCTTTTGTGCCTCCTCGTCCTGCTGCCACTGCTATGGCTGTTCCTGCTGCTCCTGCTGCTCCCACTGCTGCAGGTCCTCCTCCTGCTGCTCCTGCGGCTGCTGCTGTTGCTGCCCCCCCTGCAGCTCCTGCGGCTGCTGCTGTTGCTGCTCCCCCTGCTGTTCCTGCACCCCATGGCCCAGTCGCTCCCCTTGCTCCTGCTGCTGCTCTCCAATCCCCTGCTTTGGTTTCTGAGCCTAGCTCGGACCAAGCAACAGCAGCACTTTCCAAGCCTCAGTTACCGAGCTCCGACACACCCAAGCCTGCGAATGATGTTCGGCAGACAAAAGCCTCTTCCATTGACCAATCTGACGACGTGCCAGTGCTGCAGGCTCGGCCTAAGCCTGTCAGGCCCGGAACTGGTTCGGCGGAAACTCGGCCACCAGCCATTAGTGTTTTGTCCTCCAGACCTGTTAGAGTGTTTAGACCATTGGGAACACCCAGGGAGGATGCTTATATGGAACGTGCTAACAACGAAGCGGTGGTGCAGGGTAGGGTAAGTGTTTGTCTTCCCGTGCACGTTGAGCCTATAAGAGGTGCATATAACGAAGGCCACGTGGCAGGGCTGGAGAGCAAGGGAATAGAGGCAAGAAGAGTAGGAGGGTCGAATGAAGGAGATGAGCAAATGGGGGAGAGAGGGACTGAGGAAGGGAGTGAGAAAGGGAGTGTGAGCAGGGAAGAGGGGGCAGGGGGAGAAGCAGGGGAAGGGAGGCATATAACAGAGGAGGGGAGGGAGCAGAGAGGAGATGGTGTAACAGGCATGGTAGCAGCGGGCACAGTGGTCGGTACGGAGACAGCTACGGTGGCAGGTACGGTGGCAGGTACGGTGGCAGGTACGGTGGCAGGGGCGGTGGGAGGCACAGTTACATACCCAGTGACAGGAATGGTAGCAGCAGGCACAGTAGCTGAAGGCACACCGGCAGGTGCAGGGGTAAGAAGAGCGGGGCAGGTGAGAGTCGAGGAGGGGATGAGACGGCCGGAATGGGTGGGTGAACGAGAAGGGCTGAGGAGGAAGAGAGGGGGAGCAGCAAAAACAGCTGTGACAGGTAGAGTTGCTGCTGTTGGTGGTGGTGGTGGTGCTGCTTTTACTATCATTCCGAGATCAGCTTTCTCAAAATCTGCTTCCTCCAAATCGGGCCGTTTCAAATCGGCTGGTTCAAAAGCAGCAGCAGCAGCAGCGGTTATGTCTAAAACGGGGATATCAGGGGCAGAGAAGCGGGAGCATAGGAGAACGAGCAAGGCAGAGAGGAGAGCAGCCAGGGAAGCAGCAGCCAACGCATCAGCACCCACCCGAGCCGAGATAATCGAAGTGGGAAAAGCAGGAATGGCGGTTAAAGACCTAGCGGGTCTTCTAGCGGTCGGCGAGGGGGATATAGTGTGCGCACTGTTCATGAAGGGCGTTATAACGAACGTGAATCAGGTTCTTAACGAGGATATGGTGGCGGTGGTGTGCGGGGAGTATGGGGTGGAGGTGCTGGGACCTCAGGAGGGCGGCGTGGAGGAAAGTGCGAGGAAGGTTCGTGAGTTTGTGGGGGAGGAGGATCGGGAGCATCTGGTGCCGCGTCCGCCGGTTGTGACTGTGATGGGACACGTGGACCATGGCAAGGTGAGACTCAAGCAATGGATGAGATACCATGGATTATGGCAAGGTGCGCCCACATACAGCCTCTGGAACACAGGAGGAGGATCGTGCGCACCTGCTGCCGCGGCTGCCGGTTGTGACGGTGATGGGACACGTGGACCATGGCAAGGTGAGCTCTTAAAGCTGTCGCCTACATACCTCCTGCGGGAGGACCTGGTTTATCACTTGAAAACCAGGTAGCACAGGGCTTCGCTCCATCCTTGGGTGGCGAGGTGCAGTTACTGCTTTCTGACAACCCAACCCCCCCTCTGAAAGTTGGTCTGCTCAGGATTGGCTTACAAATTTCGCGCCAATCTACCCCCCAACCTCGATTGGTTGCAGGTTGTGGCGAAATCGCCACCACAACCCCAACCTCACGAAAAAAGTACCCTCCCAACCAAACCTTGCACGAAACTGGCGGGATTCGCCAGTTGTGTTTGAATCCTTCGCGCTCTCATTTCTGGAAAGGGATCATTTCGTGTGCAAATCAGACTGCGTCTTAGGGTGTGCACACGAAATACCCCCAGAAAATACCCTTTGGTATGTAGACCGCAGCTTTAATAGACCACCACCATGCACCTGCAAGGTAAGACTCAAATTGAGGAATCTGGTGCCGCAGCCACCAGTTGTGACTGTGATGAAACACGTGGACCATGGCAAGGTGAGTCAGACACATTTTGAGTCGACTCAAAAGTCAACATGGACCGTGGACAGACACATTTTGAGTCGACTCAAAAGTCAACATGGACCGTGGACAGACACATTTTGAGTCGACTCAAAAGTCAACATGGACCGTGGACAGACACATTTTGAGTCGACTCAAAAGTCAACATGGACCGTGGACAGACACATTTTGAGTCGACTCAAAAGTCAACATGGACCGTGGACAGACACATTTTGAGTCGACTCAAAAGTCAACATGGACCGTGGACAGACACATATAGTACCCCGATTGTTAGTTGACTTGAATATGGCCTCTGGAAGAGGATTGATTCGGAGCATATGGTGCCGCGCCCGCCTGTTGTGACTACAGGCAGATTTCGTTGCTCGTTGCTTGTGACTGCAATTACAGCATATGCTCTACTTCCCCTTCCAGTTTCGATTTATGTATTCTGACATAAGCTGGTCGGATTCTTTCTTTTTCTCTTCTCCTGCTGCCTTCTTTGTGTGTGTGTGTGTGTGTGCGTGTGTGTGTGCGTGCATGCATGCGTGCGTGTGCGTTTGTGTGTGTGTGTGTGTGTGTGTGTGTGTGTGTGTGTGTGTGTGTGTGTGTGCACATGTGTTTCTGCATATGTGTCGGCATGTTTGCATGAGTGCGTGATACAGACGTCACTACTAGACTACATTCGCCACACCAAGGTGGCAGCAGGGGAGGCAGGCGGGATCACTCAGGCCATCGGCGCTTACCGCGTGCACGTGCCCTTTGCTGCTCTTGCTGCTGCTGATAGCAATTGTGCTGAGGGCGACGGTGTTGTTGGTGATGCTGATGCTGCTGCTGCTGCTGATGCTGCTGATGCTTCTGCTGCTGCAGCTGAGAGGGCTGCTGCTGAGACTTGTGTTTTTCTTGACACTCCGGGGCATGAGGTGAGAGCGTGGAGGGATGCGGTGGGATGGGATGGGATGAGAAGTGCTGGCGATGATGCTGCTTCTGCTGTTGCTGCTGAGAAGGCTGCTGCTGAGACTTGTGTTTTCCTTGACACACCAGGGCATGAGGTGAGGGGTTGCGTGGAGATGCAGTGGGATGGGATGGGATGGGATGGGATGGGATGGGATGGGATGGTATGGGATGGGATGGGATGGGATGGGATGGGATGGGATGGGATGGGATGGGATGGGATGGGATGGGATCGGACAAGGTGGGATAAGACGTCACTACATGACATGGACTGCAATGGCTTCACAAGACAAGACATGGCATGTGATTGTAAAGGCAGAAAAGCAATCCCCTTCTTTACTTCAACACTCCCCCACCCCCCCCTCCCCCTCTTCCCTTCCTTCTTCCCAAACGACCACGTTTTGCAGGCATTCAGTGCAATGAGAGCAAGGGGAGCGAGGGTGATGGACATAGCAGTGGTGGTGGTACGATGGGGTCATGCCATTCAGACCACAAAGACCATCTCACACGCCCACACCCCTCCCTCTCTCCCCCCCCTCCCTTTCTCCCCCCTCCCCCACACTCTTCCGTTGCCCGTGCAGGCATTCAGTGCCATGCGCGCCCGGGGTGCACGTGTGACAGACATAGCAGTGGTGGTGGTGGCAGCAGACGATGGGGTCATGCCCCAGACCACAGAAGCCATAGCCCATGCGCGCGCTGCCAACGTGCCCATGCTTATCGCAATCAATAAGGTGTGATTCTAGCATGGCTGCACGGTGTGGTGAAGGTGTGTGGCTGTGCTGGTAACCGGGAATGCCCATTCACTTGTGGTGGAAGCAGACGACGGGGTCATGCCGCACACCTCAGAAGCAATTGCCCACGCCCGCGCTGCCGACGTGCCCATGCTCATCGCCATCAACAAGGTGTGCTTGTAATGAGGTGCGCTGTTAGTGAGGTGCGCTTGTAGTGAGGTGCTCTGTTAGTGAGGTGCGCTTGTAGTGAGGTGTGCTTGTAGTGAGGTGCTTGTAGTGAGGTGTTCTCTTACTGGTAACAAGCAATGTTGCATGACAGGGAATCAAGATGATACTTGAAGATGCCTGCTTGCTCTAGCTGGCTTTATTCTTACTGTGGCTCTAACCGGTGCGCTAACCTCTTTCTACGAATGATGTATGGTCCCGTTTTTTGAGGCGCCTAGAGAGGCGACTAGAGAGACTCAAAAGCGGATGTATGATTTTGAGTCGACTCAAAAGCGCCTAGAGAGGTAGGAAAACACACCTTAATGCACGCGGATGTAGGATCCCATTTTCCCACCTCTCTACATCATATATGATTTTACCCAGATTGATTGGGAAGGTCTTTTGAGAATTCTCAAAAGTCGCACCGTTTTCCTACCTCTCTACATCATATTCTCTTACCCAGATTGATCGGGAGGGAGCGAGTGTGGAGAGGGTGAAGCAGCAGCTGGGGCAAGCAGGGGTGTTGCCAGAGGAATGGGGAGGGGACACACCTATGGTGCCGGTGAGTGAGAAAGCAGAGGGAGGGAGAATACATTGTGCTGTTTATGATGCCGGTAGTGTAAATATAAAGGATTCAAAAGAAAAAGAGTTGGACTCGTTCTGTTTACCCTAGATGAGATGACCCCACTCCACCCCACCCCACCGCATCCAACCCCCTATTCTCCTTATCCACAGGTGAGCACCGAAACAGGAAAAGGCGTGGATCAGCTTTAGAAACGTCTAACTCTTTTGCCCTTTGATCCATTCATTCTTTCTCCCACCCCACCGCATCCCACCGCACTACAACCCCCTATTTTCTTCATCTGCAGGTGAGTGCCAAGACAGGAGAGGGCGTGGATCAGCTGCTAGAGACGATCATGCTGCTGGCCGAGGTGAGAAACGAAGAGAAAGATGGTTGGGAGTGGTGGAGAGTGGTGGAGAGTGGTGGGGAGCTGTGGAGAGAGGCTGAGTGCATTAGTGAGGTGAGCACCCAAGCCGGGGGAGGGCTTGGATTAGATTCTAGAGACGATCATGCTGCTGGCCAAGGTGAGAAACGAAAGGAGCAGGGTGGAAAGTGGTGAAGAGTGGTGAAGAAGGGCTGAGTGGTGAAGGAGATGTGGATGGGTGGGAGAGTGGGTGAAATAGTTAGTCTCAGGGATTGATGCATGGGTGATGTACTGCTTACACCTTGCACTTCTCACTCCCGGCACCCGACTGCACCCCTCTGCAATCCTCTGCACTTCTCTTCACTCCTCTTCACCCCTCCGCGTTCCTCACAATACAGATTCAGCAGCTTCAGGCCAACCTCAGCAGACCGGCAGTGGGAACAATGATAGAGGCACGGCTGGACCGGCACACGTGGCAACGCTGCTGGTGCTGCTGTTGCTTGTGCATTAGAGCAATTATTCCACCTATTTGCACCCCACTGCACCTCTCTGCATTCTACTACCCCCTTGGCAGATTCAGGAGCTGCGTGCGAACCCGAATAGGCCGGCAGTGGGGACGGTGATAGAGGCACGGCTGGACCGGCACAGAGGGCCCGTGGCAACGCTGCTGGTGCAGAACGGAACATTGAAGCTGGGAGATGTGGTGCTTTGCGGGGAGGCATATGGGAAGGTAAGGGGAGGGGGGGTCTGGATGGGAGAATGGGTGGAGGAATTGAGGGGAAATGAGGGGAAATGAGGGCCCGTGGCAACGCTGCTGTTGCAGAATGGGACGCTGCGGCTGGGAGACGTTGTTGTTTGCGGTGTAGCATATGGCAAGGTGAGGGGAGGGGTGTTAGGAAAGGATAAGGGTACGGGGAAAGGGGTGAGCAAGGCCCGTGGCAACACTTGTGGCGCAGAATGGGAGGTTTCTGAGGTGCCTCAGAAGAGTTTCTGAGGCGCCTTTTGAGGCGATTTTTTAGGCGCCTCAAAAGTGTGTGTTAGGAAGGATCGGGGTATGGGGAAAGGGGTGAACAAAGCCCGTGGCAACACTTGTGGTGTAGAATGGGAGGTTGACGTTGACTTTTGAGTCGACTCAAAAGTTGACTTTTGACTTTTGAGTCGACTCAAAAGTCAAGGGGTGAACAAAGTCCGTGGCAACACTTGTGGTGTAGAATGGGAGGTTGACATTGGAAGACGTGATGGTCTGCAGACTCTGCAGGTGGAGGGTCTATCCCGAGTGCAGATCGACGACACGGGAAAGAAGACTAAAGAAGCAGCCCCATCCACAGCAGTGCAAGTGGAGGGGCTCTCTTGTGTACTGGTGGCTGGCTGGGGACGAGTTCCACGTGTTGCCGTGCATTGATGCAGCCAGGATAGGATACCTCATTTGAGGCGCCTCAAAAGGATACCTCATGCCTACCCCCACCCGCCCATCCCCCACCCCCCGATTCCCTCTCTTCCAGGTTCGAGCCCTGGTGAGTGACTGTGGGACCAAGGCTAAAGAAGCACCCCCATCCATGGCAGTACAAGTGGAGGGGCTGTCCCGTGTGCCGGTGGCAGGGGACCAGTTCCACGTGCTCCCGTGCATTGATGCAGCCGAGGAAATTGCATACCTATCCCCTCCCCTCCCTCTCTTCCAGATTCGAGCGCTGGTGCGCGACAGTGGGAGCAGAAGACTTTTGAGTCGACTCAAAAGTCAACTCGTCAGTGGGAGCAGAAGACTTTTGAGTCGACTCAAAAGTCTCTTCGAGCGCTGGTGAGCGACAGTGGGAGCAGAAGAACGGAAGCAGGGCCATCAGCAGCAGAAGGACTCTCCCGTGTTCCCATGGCAGGGGACCAGTTTCATGTGCTGCCGTGTGTCAATGCAAATGCAGCCAGGGGAAGTTCATGCCTGCCTATCACCCTCCCCCTCTCCCTCTCCTGCAGGTTAGAGCCCTGGTGAACGACAGGGGAAGCAAGTCCAAGGAAGCAGGGCCGTTAGCAGCAGTGCAGGTGGAAGGACTCTCCCGCGTTCCCGTGGCAGGGGACCAGTTTCATGTGCTGCCGTGCGTCGATGCAGCCAGGATACCTCATGCCTACCTACCCCCACCCGCCCATCCCCCACCCCCCGATTCCCTCTCTTCCAGGTTCGAGCCCTGGTGAGTGACTGTGGGACCAGGGAACAGCAGCACCCCCATCCACTGCAGTGCAAGTGGAGGGACTCTCCCGTGTTCCAGTGGCAGGGGACGAGTTTCATGTGCTGCCGTGCATCGATGCAGCCAGTATTGTTCATGCGCACCTCCCGCTCTCCCCCACTCCACCCAACTCCTCCCCTCTCCTCCAGGTACGAGCCTTGGTAGATGACAAAGGGAAGAAGACTAAGGCAGCAGGGCCATCTATGGCAGTGCAGGTGGAGGGGCTCTCCCGTGTTCCAGTGGCAGGGGATGAGTTTCACGTGCTGCTGTGCATTGATGCAGCCAGGGCCATGGCTGAGGAAGCTGCTGAAAAATCGCGAACGGCTCGGCTGGCAGCAATGCAGGGAGAGGCAAAAGTGACTCTCTCTGCTTTCGCCACTGCTGCTGGCGCTGGTGGTGCTGCTGCAGCTGGTTCTGCTGCTGCTAACGGTGCTGCTGGTGCTGCTGCTGGTGTTGGTAGTACCAGTGCTGCTGGTGCAAGGAGGGGAGGGGGAGAGGAGATGGAGGAGGAGGAGGAGGTGGAATTACATGTGGTTAATGTGATTCTAAAGGTGGACTGCCAGGGGTCAGTGGAGGCGATCAGAGAGGCGTTGGGGAGTCTGCCTCAGGACACCGTGTCACTGCGCTTCCTGCTGCAGGTGAGGGGCATTGGAACAAGGGGTGGGGGTGGGTAAATCCAGGTTGAAAGGGGTCAAGTGGGCTGCCAGGGATTATTGCATGCGCTGGGGAGTCTGCCTCATGACACTGTGTCTCTGCGCTTCCTGCTACAGGTGAGGCGATGTGAGGGAGAAAGGATGTGCTTCCTTCCCGTTCCAATTCCGTTTCTTCCTCCTCCTCTGTCCCTGTCCTCAGGCCCCTGGTGACGTGTCAAGCAGTGACGTTGACCTGGCAGCGTCCAGCTCAGCAGTTGTGCTGGCATTCAATGTGGCCGTGTCGCCAGCTGTCGCAGCAGCGGCAGAGATGAGAGGAGTGCGAGTGAGGCAGCACCGGGTGATTTACGATGTGGTGGAGGAGGTTCGGGCGATCATGGAGGGGCTGCTTCACACTGTAGAGGTGCGTTACACACTTGTTACAGAAATTATATACATATGCATGTGTGCGTATACATATGAACATGAGTGAGGTCTTATCGGGTGATCTACGATGTGGTGGAGGAGGTTCGAGCGATAATGAAGGGGCTGCTTCATGCTGTAGAGGTATGTTGCATACTTGTTAACATTGTCATGTAGTTAATGTAGGTTATTATAATTTACGGCTGATGATTCCCTCGCCGCTGTCGATTATTATCCTCTACCTGTTCCCACACCGTTGTTGATTATAATCTTCTACCTATTCCCACTCCGTTGTTGAATACTTTTGTGTACCGGTATATCCCCCTTGTGCAATTTACAGGAGACTTCGTTCCTCGGCCGGGCAGAAGTGCGGGCAGTTTTCGGCACGGGCAGCATGCGGGTGGCAGGAGTTATGGTTACCGAGGGGCGGCTGCAAAAAGGATGCAGCGTAGTGGTGAGGCGTGGAGGTGGGAAGAATGGGGTTGCTATGGCAATGGTGACTGAACAAGAGAAAGGCAAGAGCATGAACGGCAAGAGGGCGAAGGCGGGCGAAGGCTTGGGTTCAAGGCAGCAGCACTTGGAGGGTCGCTGGGTGCATTCAGGGCAGGTGACGTCTCTTCGGCGGGTGAAGGAGCATGTGGGGGAGGTGATATCTGGGCTGGAGTGCGGCGTGGGTGTGGAGGGCTTTAACGGGTGGCAGCAAGGTGACTATATCGAAGCCTATGAGGTGACGCACAGGGCTCGGACGCTGGAGGATGCATCCAAAGAAATCGCACGAGTTGTGGAAGGCAAAAGAGGGACTCTGGGAATAGATTTGTCCTAGTGCTTGCTTGAAGGGTGGATGTCTCAATCTAGATGAGGTGTGTCAGACTCTAGAGCATGCCATACAGAGATCAGATGAATGGTAGAAGGGAAGTGATGTACCTGTAATACCCCGGATATAAGCGCACCTGCGCTTTTAGTAAAACATTGTTTTTTTGGGGGGCGCGCTTACAATTGAGTCAGATTTATAAGCGCATGCGTTTGTATAAAGGATAAAATGAAAATCAATTTTGAACACACCATTGTGAAGCTCCCAATAAGGCGAATTCAACCGACCATGCACCAAGTGGGGTCGTGCATGGTTTTCAGGTAGAAACTGCTTCGGTTCGGTTTCCCACCGCACAATGTTGTCTTGAAACATCGAATGTGACAGCCGTGACGAAGATGTTGCCGTGCGGCCCAATCAGAGTCGCATGCGCTGCGTGGCAGGGCGTCCGTCTCATCAAACCTTCAACCATGTAGGGTGTCTGGGAAGAACCAAAGTTCAGGGTGTGGAAATATCGGAGAGCAGGTGTATTTTCCTAGTGCTTGCGTGAAGGTTGGCTGCAGGACCCAAGGTATGACAATGATTGATTTTAAAAAGCTTGCTTTCTTGTTGTAGCAATGGCATCGTCTCATTTCAAATGGCATCGTACAGACATGTCCAAGCTAGCATGCAATTATTCTAAAGCAATCAACTATCAATAATTGTTCCCAGTTCTACGGGGTGGGTGGGCGGGAAACTAGGCTAAGCCGTTTGAAAATGAAAGACGTGGGTGGAGGGAAATGACCTCCAACCCACGTTTTGTACTCCAAAATGGGCGTTTAGCGCGGTTCGCCGATGACCATTGCTACATTACAAGCCGCTTCGCTTTCAAAATACACAATTTTGAAAAGCGTTACAACTTTTAAAAATATTCATATTTTAAAAAGCTTGCTTTCTTGTTGTAGCAATGGCATCGTCTCATTTCAAATGGGTCTTCTGAGACATGTGTCTTGTTGGACGCCGTTGGCGCGCCACTGTCGTGGCGTGTTGAGCGGGGGAGAGGGCGCGTGCTGGGTCTTGAACTTGCTTCGAAGCCCCCACAAGTTGGTCTGCGGCAGGCGTGATGGACGTCTCCTTGGCGGTGTCGCTGCTCCACCTTCCTAGTCGCTTCAGGATGCGGTCTGATATTCCGGCGTTGGCTGCGACAGTTGTTGCGCCTTTCCGAAAAGAGTGGGTGCCGAGATGCTCGAAACTAAGACCGATTTTGTTGAAGGCCTCTTTGCACCAGTTGCGGATTGTGGTGTAGGATGGCGACTTGGCGGCACCGTTTTTCCCACCCTCTGTTCCAAAGACGCGGATGAGTGGACCTTGTTGCGATTGATCGTATCGTGCTAGGTGTATAAATTGTTTGGTGCACCGAATTGGGCAAAAGGGGCCAGGGCTTGCCGCTACTGGGACCCATGTGCCTTCTCCTGCCTGATCCGTCTTGGAACGGGGTATTAGTAACCACATGACTTCTGGCTCGAAATGAATCTCATGCCAGTTGATGACTGCAAGGTCGGAGTAGCGCAGAAACCCGGCGTACATTATGATCAGTATTAGCCCCTTCTAAAATTCGCGAGGGTTGTCTGACTGTAGAAATTCCGATGCCATCGCATGGACTTGATGAAGCGACACGGGTTCTTTGGCCCGGGTAGGGTGCGGACATCGCTTCTTCGCAAAATCTCTGACTTGAGAGGTGAATGCGCCGATAGACGGGCATGATGCCCCGATCGACCGATGCGCGAAGCTAACTGCAGAGCATGTCAACTGAATTGCAGACACCGTAGCCCTGTGCTGAATGGCGTGGACCAGGTACAGCGCGAGCGTCATGTCAGTGCATGGGAGGAACTTGAGCTTGTGGTGTTGGCAAAAGGAGCGGAACTTGACCCAGTAGGGCTCGTATGTACGGATTGTGGAGTCGGCCCGCGTTTGCGTGGTTATCTCTAGTAGGCGATGCTTGAGTTTTTCCAGCAATCCTGCATCGTGTGCAAAAGCAGTTAGCAGGTGAATGACACGCGTAGTGCGACCATCGAACTACACGGCAAACCGTCGCCGGAGAAGGCGCTGGAGTGATTGCTTGTAGTCAGGCACTGGCTACCGTGCGTGAGGTGGAGGTGGGTGTGAATGTAGGTGGCCCATTGAGGAGGGGAGGGTTGCAGTAGGGGCCACCAACTTGCGCCAGGCCAGCAAGGCGTGACGAGAGTGATGGCGGCGCGAGTTCGTTTCGCATGGTGGAGCACTGCTGGGATTAAGTGCGGTGGAGGGAATGCGTATCCCTGCTCGGAGGTCCATGGGATCGAAAATGCGTCAACTGCCACTGCGTCTGGGTGCGGTGTTTTGGAGCAGAACCGAGGTAGCTTGGTATTGCTCCCATTTGCGAATAGATCGATTGAGTGCGGGCCCAGGCGGCGCTCGATGAGCCGGAACCAAGGTGTCTTTAGTGAGTAGTCGTCACGATCGAGCGCCTTGGAGAGTTCATCCGCCCGTGTGTTTAGTTCGCGCGGGATCCATTCGACCATGAGCCGAATCCGAAAAGTCATGCATGTCTGGATGATCGACTTGCACGTCGCTGTAAGGTTGGTGTGCCTTGAACCACCTTTTCGAAGGATGAAGAAGACGCCTTGGTTATCGGTCCTTGCGAGGACGTGCTGGTCGCGGATGCTTTCTGAAAACGTTTGGAGTGCCCATAGAACGCCATCTATCTCTCGCTGCGTGCTGGATGACTCTAGCAGATGCTTCGGCATTGCCGCACTTGCCTCGATACGCCGTCCTGGGAACTTGTCCAACGTCGCTCCCCAACTGTGTGCGCTGGCATCCACATGGATGACAACATCGTAGCTGTTGGGGACGTGAAATGGGGCGCCGTTGAATTTGTCGAACTCGTGGCGCCAAAAGTCCAGTTCTTCAATCGCCATAGGGTCCAGCAGCACTTTACTATTCCATGATGGTGCTTGCTGGATTGCCTGCAGTAGGCCTTGACTGAACGCTCGTGTCGTCGTCCCAAGAGCCAGTGACATGGAAGCCAGCATGTCGGTGACTCTGGCGATGTGACGGACTGGGACCTTGCGTTCTGCCTTTCCTTCCCTCTGAAGGACTTGGAGGGTGGAGAGTAGTGAGGCTCGACATTCAGCGCCGATAGAGAACTGACCACGGTCAGTGTCTAACTCGACGCCTAGGAAACGCAACTGCTGGGTCGGTTGTAGATGCGACTTTTTCGAGTTGATCACAAGCCCTGCCTTGTTGAGGTCATGTATGATTGATTGACATGTGGCTCGTGCTTTCACTTCCGTGTCACAAAGGAAGAGGATGTCGTCGACATAAGGAATGACCCGTATGCCCATGGCTCGCCAGCGCCGAGCGAGTTGTTTGATAAGTTGAGTAAAAACGAATGGGGCCGTCGCGAGGCCGAACGGGAGCGAGCGGAATATGTATGTCTTTCCGTCAAATCGAAATCCCAGGTACTTTCAGCACGATGGGTGAATATCCACGTGGTGATACCCAGACTTTAGGTCGATAGAGAACATCCAGTCGCCCATGCGAGCGATCTCCGCAACCCGATTGAGCCCCTCGTACTTGAATTTTGGAATGCGCAGGTGCAGGTTCACTTGGCGGAGGTCGAGGATCAGTCGGCATTTCTCTCTTTGGACCACCACGTTCAGTGGGCTAATGCATACGGTCTGAGCCGCGGGTGCAAGAGCAGCTGCGCCGCTTTCTAGGAGCTCGCTAATAGCCTGTTTGGTAAACTGGGCGTGGATCTGTGCGCCCGCGTGATTGTCGCACCGGAACGGCGCCGGGTGGATGAGTTCCCACGGCATCCAGTAACCGTGAAATATCACTGAGAGTATGAAGCTGCTGTCGCACCATGAGCTCCACCATGGGAATGCCAAGCGTAGCCGACCGCACATCCTTGTGACGAGCTTATCTGTGATTGCGTATTCGTAGGGGATGTGTCGCTCGCCCATACCGCCATCCGGTGGATCTGTGCAAGGGGTCGCAAAAAGGACACAGGCTGTGAAGGCGTTTTTTTTTTTTTTTTTTTTTTTTTTTTTTTTTTTTTTTTTTTTTTTTTTTTGCATCAGCTCTAGTTGCTATTAATACGAGTGCATGTACTAGCGAACAACGGGGCGGTGTATGGCCGAACCTCCACGAGGTGGGCCATTGACCCACCCTTCCCCTTCTCTTTCATATTGATATGTTCGCCTCTCTCTCCCTTGTTGTTGTTTTTTTTTTTTTTTTTTGTCTGTCAACACCTAATATACACGACCTTAGGCTTGCCGTGTGTGCACCCGAGGGCTCTCGATGTTGGACGAGCTCGAGGTGGGCTGCCGGATTGTGCTTTGCACATTTTCTATGATAACGTGCTTTGTCTCGTGGGCTCTTTGCCCATCGTGTCAATTGCGCGTAGTAATATGCTTCGTATGCCCTCCTTGTGCGCTTGTCGCGCAAGCGGCCCTCTCGTGTCCCGTTAAATTGGGCCGGTGCTGGCCAAATAGTGTGGCCTCCTTAAGAGTCAACATCTTCATCATCTCACACTTCTCCTTGTCTTTCTTTCTTTCTCCTCTTCTCCTTTTTTTTTTTTTTTTTTTTTGGTACCTCAACCGCTTAGGCCTCACTCTCCGAGGGCTGCTTGTTTCAATAATCCAGGTTCCAATATTTTAAATCTCATTCATTAAGCCACACATCAACGATTGTCCACATTACTTGCCACTCCGGCCCATATTTCATGCTTGAACACGCATACAACTCATGATTGCCACCCATGGCTAAGTCCTAGGACTCCTAGTCCTACTCCCTTCCCTAGGGGTCGGCCGGCGGCCATTCTACTCGCCCCGCAGGGTCTGGCCATTGGCCTAAGCACACCATGTTGCCCATGCAACGTGCTCTCGACGCCCCAAGTGGTTTCCCTCTCATAGGGTCACACCACCGGCGCGGGTCCTTGGGCCCCTCGCCCATTATCAGGGCACATATTGGCCATGTGGCCGGGCTGTCCGCAC